GTGCCCTCCCGGTACCCTGTCCCGGTGTGCCCCATCCCGGTGCCCCATCCCGGTGCCCCATCCCGGTGCCCCATCCCGGTAGCCTGTCTTTGATCCCTGTCCCAGGGTCCCGTTCCAGCCCTCTGTCCCAGTGACCTGTCTCAGTATTTCCCCGCTCCATTCCTGTCTGAGTGGACCCCATTCTGATAACTTCTTTTTGGTGCCCCATGCTGGTGCACCGCGTGCCCTGGCACAGTGACCCGTCCTGGTGCACCATTACAGTGTCTCAGTGCCAGTGCCGCGTCCCAGTGCAGTACAGGTCCGTGTCCCCTCACAGCTCCTAGAAGCACAGCTGCAGAGCTCATGTGTTTATTGTACAAGACGAAGCTGGGCAGGAGCTTTGGCTGCCATAGCCCACCCTGAGGTATGCAGGAGCCCCTGCCCTGGGGCTCAAGCGCCACACAGCCACCCTGCCCAGACAGGGCTCTGCTGTGATCCCAGCAGTGCCGTGGGATGGATCCAGGGCCCCTGGTGCTCCCTGTCACCGCTGCCTCTTGCGGATGGCGACGAGGTCCTGGTGGATGGTGCAGAAGTTGGGCCGCTTGTGAGGGTCATACTCCCAGCAGCGCTGCATCAGCTGGTACACCTCCTCAGGGCACTGCTCGGGAGGGTCCAGCCGCAAACCTGGGCAGCAGGGATGGGGACGTGGATCACCGGCCCCTCACACCCCACATCCCACTGTGTCTGGCCCATCCCACAGGCACAGCCCCACAGTGCTGGACCCACAGCTCATGGTGGCTCTCAGGAGCCAGCCCCAGCCGTGTCCCCTACCATGCTCCACTGCCTCCCGTGTCTGCTGGTTGCTGAGGTTGGCATAGGGGACGGCACCCAGGCTGAAGGCTTCCCACAGCAGGATGCCAAAGCTCCAGACATCACTCTCTGAGCTGTATCGGCCTGGGGACATGGGGCAGGACAAATGCTGTTGGCAGGGAACACGTGTGTCACCCACCACTGCCCAGCCATGCCCGTGCTCCTGAGGGCTGAGGTGCTGAGGGTCTCTGCCTCTCTCCCCAGGATCAGGTGTGTGGGAGTGCCAGCTGCGGGGTGCCAGGCCATGCCTGGCTCCATCCTGTACCGTAATTGAGTGCTTCAGGGGCCGTCCACTTGACAGGGATTTGCTTCATTCCCCCTGTGGCGGCGTAGATGCCATCCTCCTCCTCCCGTGACATCCCAAAATCACTGATCTTCAGGGTGTTTCTCTCCGTCACCAGGCAGTTGCGAGCAGCCAGGTCCCTGAGACAGCCCCAGGCAATCAGCCGTGTGCCCAGCTGTCCCTGGGGCTCCACCTGGCACGGGATGGGGTGGTGAGGATCCCAGGGCTCCCCGTCCTGCCAGGGCCCACCTGTGGATGCAGTGCTTGCTCTCCAGGTACTCCATGCCGGCGGCAGCATTCTCTGTCATCTTGACCAGCTCCTTCACGCGGAGGTGGGGACCCTCACTGCGCAGGAAGGTCAGGAAGTCCCCCCCTGTGCCCAGATTGCAGAGGCGGTGGGTGCCAGGCAGCGCTGGCAGCTCACCCAGGCGTGGGTGCGTGGGAGCGCGGGGACGGGCGCTCACCCTGCACCAGCTCCATGACGATGTAAATGGGCTGTTTCTGCGTGCAGACGCCGATGAGCCGCACGATGTTGGGGTGCCTGTACTGCTTGAGAATCCTGTGGGGACAAGGATGGCACTGTGAGTGTAGGGGGGCCTGGCTGCTCTGGGCACAAGCCACCTGCTGCCATCGCCAGGGCACTCTGCCCAGCCGGCCTGGGGACACAGCCCTCAGCACGAGGGTGCTGCAGTCCCAGCAGCGTCCAACAGCTCCAAGAGTGGACAGATGTGACAGGAGAAACTCCAAACCACGCGGACCTGGCTTCCTGCAGGAACTTGGCCTTGAGCTCAGGCGGAAGGGTTTCCCGGCAGGATTTCACAGCAACGGGAGAGTTGTCAGCACGCAGGCGTCCGCTGAACACTTCCCCAAAGTTACCCTTCCGAGACACAGGTGCACCAGGCTCAGCTCACCGTGCGGCCCAAGGCAACCCTTGTCCTCCTGCAGACCTGTGAGGACAGCCCTGCCCTCCTGCAGACCCCACAGCACCCCATCTCACCCGACCAATGCGCTCCCCCATCAGCACGTCCTCGTGGTTCAGCACCCATTTGTCCTGCAGCAAACAGACACCCGTGAGCTGCCCCTGGCCCACAGACCCCTGCAGGCCCCCGTCAGGCAGAGCCCAGGTCCAGGTTCCCCTGTCTACCTGGAGCAGCATGCCTGTGGCCCTCAGCCCAGCCATCAAGAGGAGAAAGGGCCAGGCAGAGCTGCCCCTGCCCAGGGGGCCCCATCCTCCTCCCCAGTGCCCGTCTCACCCTGGGCACAGCCCTGGCCAGGACAATGCCACTCTTGCGGGTAATGGGCTGCTGGCTCTGCAGGAGGTTCTGGATCAGCAGCGGAATGGTGGGGAAGCTGTCACCCTCCAGCCGAAACATGTTCTGCAGGGAGGGAGGCCAGGAGGTGGTGATGGGCAGGAACCCGTGCCTGGCCATGCAAGGCCACCCCAGCCATCCCCCCTACTCATGGTCACTCACTCCCACAGCCTGGATGATGAAGTGCCGGGGCTGCCCATCCCACAGCACGCTGAGCACGTACTCCTGCTTGCCCTGGCTCTCCCGCACCAGGAAGTCCCCAGGGCAGGTCAGCAGCTCCTGCACCTCCGACCGTGGGATGGCCCCGTGGTACCAGACCTGCTGGCACAGCGGCTTCTGCACGTCTGGGATGAGGGGCACGGGGGGTGGCAGCTGGAAGGAGACAAGGTGAGCCCAGCCATGCACACTCCTGACTTGTGCCAGAGGCGGGGCAGCAGGAGTGTCTGGAAGCTGTGCCCAGGGCAGGTGGGAGCAGAATCTGGAGGTGCTGAAGCAAGGGAGGCTGTGTGGCCAGCAAGGAGAGGACAGGCTCATCAAGGCAGCTGGGCAGAGAGCAGCGTGGCGGGAGGCACCCAGGGACTCACCGAGTACTTTGGGCTGAAGATGCCTGTGATGTGGTTCTTGAGGGTCTCCAGCGCGCTGGCCCCGCTCCGCTCCTGCTCCTGGAAGGAGGCACGGGCTGTGCACCAGCTGTGCAGCCCATCCCTGCAGCTCCCGGGGCGCAGGAGGCGAGGCCGACTCACCGTGGAGGAGACAGACAGCCGATCCT